CAAAAGAATGTAACAAACTTCCCTGTACTTACCTCCAGGATCATAATTCTAAAAATAGCTTTTTCCATGCTGATCTAATTTACCGGTAAGTGGAACGTCTAAGAATAAAATATTATCTGTGTTTGCCTTACTCTTAAAGAGATGTGCAAACCGAACATGTTTTCTATGCAAGTTTTACCATCCTTGAGTAGATTAATCTTTTAATTGCTATTAGAATTTCAATGTTCATGAACCTTTATGTCCTTTTTGGGTGGCAGTGTTTTGAGACAAATATTTTGGGCTCCCTTTCAAAATAACTTACCTACCAGAAACTACAACTTATTTATTTAGCAATAGCATCTTGAAAAGTGTTTAACATAGCACTTTAATTTTAGCGTTGTTATGTAAATGACAAAGGATGTTTCTGTACATGTAAGTGAGTCTTATTTCGGTAGAGTCACGTTTACATTGTCTGTTCCTTATTCACTTCCTATAAATATTTGGAGCAGTTTCAGTCTTGCCAGGTTAAATTTTTTTTTTTTAAAGGAAGGGGAGAATGTGTCTCTTCTGTATCTACTTCCTGCTGAAAGGGAGCAGTGTCATAGTCAGGGTCTCATCTTCTTGCTCTCTGTCAGGAGGAAGGAGGTGCTGTCTCCGGATTTTTAGTAGGTGGGAGGTGAAAGCTGCAAGCGACAGTTTAAAGAGGAGACTAGTATAAATCAGTCTTCTATTTCCGGAGGGAAAGGTTGGAATCCCTGGAGGACCATCATTTTTAAGTGGAACTGTTGTAACCTGACAGATGTAGTCAGTTGTTGGATGTTCTTTAGCAAGATTATGAAGCTATTCAGCCTGGTTCTATATCTTTTTAATATCTTCTTCTACTTGACTGGTGGCATTTATACAAACGCAGCAAGTCTTATTAATTACTGCACATACTCCCCCTTGTTCAGCTAATAAATACTCAAGGGCTAGTCAGTTGTGAAAGACAACATTTACAAGTGAATTGAGGGGCCTCCAGAGATTCTGGAGGGTGTCTCCGATGTCTTGAGCTAGGGTTGCTATGGGGTTTGTTAGGTTGGTTAAAGTAGCCTCATGATAGGCAGATCCTCCCCAAGGGGCTGCTAGACCGACGACGGCAGTCCCAATACCAGCTAGAATGACTCCTGTGGCCCATTTGTCTCCATGGCGAACGATGTTTTGAACAGTGATCTGATTTTTTTTTAACTGGCGTTTACTGTAAATAACTTTGAACTTTAATGTACATTTTTTAGTAATGTTGGAAAAATGTATTCAGCCAACATTCCTGCTTTATTTGTAACTATCATTTAATGACCATAAATAAATAAATAAATAAAAGCACTAAAAGCAAAAAGACATAGATTAGAAGGAAGGAACTATGCCATGAATTACTTTTCCGGTAGTGCCCGTTGTAGTGTATTCGTAATTTGAGTTTTGGAATGTTAGTTTTGGGGCTGCTTGTTTCCTTTGAACCAGGGAGACATAGTTAAGCTGCATTGAGTGGTCGAGTATTTGCTCTCCTTTTAAAGATACTTAAGAGATACTCTATTCAGCTAGAAATGAAAAGTGAATGTGTGGCCCCTCTAGTTGAAAGTTCAAATAAACTTTAGAAATGCAAGACCAAAAGGGTCAGTGTCCAGGGGAGATTTTTCTAAACTTGCACTCCTTTTGGAAATACTTGAGAGACGTGAGCCTTTCATCCACTCTGCAGAATTTGTGAGTGCCTACTGCGTGCTGCACCACGTGCTTTCTCAGCCACACGGGAAAAGTGCTGACGAGACAGGAAAGGTTCCTGCCCTGAGGGAGTTTATGTTCTTGTGGGGAGAGAAAGACAGACATGAGTGTGCAACCTAATACATAAGATAGTTTCAGATAAGGATAAATGTTGTGCGATACCTGAGTAATAGTAACAGAATACCTGCAGAGAGGTTGCTGCTTCACCAAAGATGATTAGGGGCGGCCTCTGGCAGGAGGTTACATTCGAGCCAAATTGTAAATGTTGTGAAGGAACCTTCGGTGCAAACATGTGGGAGTCTTCAAGACTGAAAGTCCATGGGTTTGTGAATCCTGAAGAGAATCTTTGAAAAGTGAAGGTAATGAGAGGAGACAGAGGCACGCTGGGATCAGGCAAAGGCCTCTGACTGGTTTGCATGTGAACTGTGCAGTGCCAGCAATTGCTGTGGCAGTGTCAAGTGCCCTGTGCGGTGTGGGTCCTGGGCCCAGGTGCCAGCCGCTAGCTGCTTGTGGTCTGAAGCACCCGGTTTCCTCAGGAGTAATGCGACAGGGTTGGACCAAATACTTCCAGACTCTTGTGTTCTTTGCTTTTGAATCTATGTGACGTTTATTGGCAATAAAAGGAGAATTATTAGTTGGTACAATGCATTATTATTTTTTTTACCTAAATATATGGAAGAGTGCAAGGTTTACTCAGTGATACTAATCTTTAAAATGAGATTTGTTTAAGAATTAGTCATCTGTTATACTTGTCTAAAACAGTACAAATCTTGCATTAGTTAATTCGGTGTGCTAGATATATGCTTAATAATGAAAGGACATCTTAACAGCTCACCTCTGACCTCTTAACAATCACAAATGAACTGTAAATTATACCAACTTTTATTATGGTTCCCATGAAACAGCCCTAACTCAAACAACCCATTTAGGCTTCCCTGATCCTCTCTCTCTTTCATTCTTGGTGATTTACATGTCAAGGACATTGTTGTTTTAAGGAAAACAAACAACTAAAATGTGTGGAAACCAAAGTCTATTTAAACTAGACAATTATTCATTTTGGGTTGCAGAGGAAAGTCCTTAATGCTGAAAAATCTTGTTATGCTGGTGTATTGCTTTCTTGGAAGGCTGACAGCTGTGATTTAGTTTAGTTTTGATTTAGATTTAGTTTTGCTCAAAGCAGGAATTTGAGCCACTTTAACTATGAAATGTAGACATATTTTTGTTTGCATCAATGAATAGAATTACACAGTTGCAAATTTCCAGCTTTGTCACACAGTCAATAAGCATTTATTAAATATCTGGTATGTTGCAAGTGCGAGGGATGTGGTGCTCCCCTCACAGTCCAGTGGATGTCGTGCTAACTACTTGGGCTCAGACAGAAATTCCTGAAGAAATGATGGAGCCCACAGTCCTTGTGTATTCTTGTTCTCTCACTTGGTTGAGCGTAGGTGTTTCAGAAACTGGAGCTATGGCAGATTTCGACCTGGTATGCTCCTGGTGTGTCTTGTGGAGTTGTCAGACCCTGTATAATCAGTCGCCCTCACCTATGCCCAGTGTTTGAGCACTGTGCCCCCTAAGGAGAATCTTAGGAGAATGTCTGATGGAAGAACAGGTGTAATAACTTCAGCCTGAGAGCCTATGGGAATTTTTCAATCGTTTTAATTAGGGGAGTGGTTAACTTTCATCTTGAAAATTCCACTCTGGCCCTGGTGTGGAGAATAAATTAGGGAAGAGGCAAGGATGGAGGCAGCAACAGTGAACTGGAGATGTTGTTAACAGTTTAGGAAAAAGGAAATGAAGGCTGAGATTAAGATAGTGAGTTGAGAAATATTTCGTATAGGGAATGAGTAGACATTTAGATATAGTTTGCTGTTACCAAGGTGTTTTTGTTTGTTTGCTTTCATTTAGAAAAGACAGTTTGATTAGAAAGCATGCTATATAAATTGACAGAAGTAACTGAAAAAAACCCAGTCTGTCTGTTCCATCTGTTTTCAGAAAAATGGCTTTTGAAATACCTAGATAAATTACTTTAATCTTTTTAGAGCACAGCTTGGTTTTGAGCCATGATCTCTTAAACAACAAAAAATGACATTTTGTAAAGGGATTTGACATTAGCAGATATAGGGTGTATTCAAGTGTTTTGTTTGTAAAACCTTGATAACATTTTATATGTCGTGAAATCTGGACTTAACATTTCTTAGGGACTGAGAGTCATTTAGTTGTGCCAAAATCACAACAGACTAATTGTCTCACTTGACTGTATTTTAAATTAGTCTATAACTTTGTGGATTTATGTTGATTTTCACAAAATTGGGAATATTCCTCCATTATTATTATTAGGTATGATTTAATAAAGATGACTTCATATATGGCATTTTGGTCAACTTTTTTTTCACAAATATAGTATTAGATGTTTTAAAAGGAATAGTTTTATGAATTAAATGTCTATTTTCCATTTTTAGAAAATTTTAATTAACATATTAAAGAGAGAGGACAGACACCCTACATAAAACCACAGGATATCTTTCTTAAGATCAGAGAAAAAAAGAGAAATACATAGAAATATAATTACTATAATTGCAATAGAGTATATCAGAGCCCATTTTGGTGAGTACACTGTGAACCTGATGCACAGCATTTCAACATAAGGCTTCTGCTCTTACATTTGTCTTCTAGATCAATTTATTGTTATATTTCAATATTAAATACTTTGAGTTGCTTTTGTATGTTTAAAAGATATTTTTAGTTTCTTATAGTAATGTGGTTGCCAAAATGAAGGAATGCGTGGTAGTATATGGGTGGGTGTGGGTGTGGGTGTGCGCGCTTGCGCACGTTTCTTGCATGTAACCATTTCACAGTGGCTTAGCTATAAATGAAAGTTCCTCTCCCTGGTTTTTCATCATCCCAGAGTTCAGGGCTACAACATTGGTGGCTGTAAATTTAGAAGTTTTTCCATTTTTATTCACAAGGAATATTTTCACGACTAGAGGCTTTTTCATGAACTCAGATGGTGTTCTTTGTTTTGCCTCCTTTTTCTTTACTTGTAAACTTAGTGACATACCCTATAATCTTAGGGCCGTGCAGTTAGCTTTAATCACATGATGTATCAGCTTTCTATACCGTTCTTCTGTTAAAAAAAGAGGAAAATGTCTTTACATTTTAAGTGCCCCCTGTCCCTCTGCTCCCCCAGCCCTGGTTTGCAGTCAGTGTTCCGACATGTTCAGTGTTTGGCCCTTGCTGTTTTTACTAACCTCGCCTTCTGCTTTCAGCTAACAGCCCGGTCCCTGCCTGCTGTACAGTCTGATGAGCGACTTCAGCCTCTGCTTAACCACCTCAGGTAATAGAAGGCACAGCCTTGCTTTGTGTGTAAATGCAAGTGCATCAAAGTGGGTAAAGTATATTAAAGTAGTTAAAACCTTTCCAATTACTAAAGACTTAAAGTTTTTTTTTTCTTGCTTTAATTCTGTGATTTAAATTGAAGTTCCTAATATAACACACGTTACCCTTGACAGGGTACTATAGAAAGCTCTTTTTATTCAATAAAAGTGTGTAGAACTGGTTGATAAGTTTGAGTTAAAATGAGTAGAAATGACTGGCTACAGAAAGATCTCAAAGATACGAGCTATTTATTTAAATACAAGGCTAAGGCATATTTTGGGACCCCTACATATTTTATGGGGGGTAAAGGACATAGGTGGGATTTATTTTCTAAATACGAAAATAATATATCCTCATTAAAAAAAAAGTTAGAAAATACAGGAGAGTAAAAGGAGAGTCATCACTATTTAGGATACTTCCTTTTATTGTGTTTTAAAACCCAGTATTGAAATTAGACTTTTATACAGTTTGCTATTTTTTATTTTAAAATAAACATTGTAAGACTTTTTTTCTGTTATTAGACTATCTCCAAAAACATAATTTTTAGTTACTACATGATGTTTTCTTGTATGGATATATTACAGTGTATTTATTTCTCTTTGTGGGGGAAGTTAGACTATTTCCAGTTCTTTTCACAAGTATAAAAAAATGCCATATGTAAGTCTTTATCTGTATTTTTTATCATTTCCTTAGCATAGATTTTCCGAAGTGAAATTACTTTGTCAAAGCATGTGAACAATTTTAAAGATTTAAATATATGTATTTTTTTCAAAAACGTTTTCTTATATTTTCATATTGTACAAGGTTGCCCATGTTACCATACGCTGAACAAGATGGGACAGCCAAAACAGTTGCTAATTTAATAGTTAATCATAGAGATACTGTTGTGATCATGTACATTTCACTTATTATTATTAAGAATGATTTTAAAATATTTTATTATTCATTTTTATTTTGGGGTTGGATTAACTCTCTTTATCTTTGCTCATTTATTGATAGCATTTCCTGATTTTATTTGATCTTAAGTACTTTAGATATATGGGATAGTAACTCTTCTTATTTGTTACAAACATTTTTTTCTGAAAGTTTTTGATTATGTTACGTTATCCAATGTAACATACATTTTCAAGTACCTGCATTTTCAAGTTTTATGTAGTTAAGTACCAGTAGTGTTTTCTTTTATGGTTTCTTTTATATTCTTATAAAATCAGAATATCACTTCTCATTCCAAAACCTGGGTAGATACTAATTTCCAGTATCTTTTAGTATTCTTTATTTTTTTTCTCCCTGCCCTCCCATCTTCCCTTTTTCTTCTTCTCCTACCCTTCTCTCCAGTAACTTGCCCTTTTCAGACAGATACTTTTAACCTACCCATATGTATAACTGTTTTGTTGGGGGGCAAGGGGGGTTTCAGATTAACATTTCATCAGGCCTGAGTAACATAAATATTATACCTAGCCGATCAATTTCCTAGAGCACTGTGTTAGTGAATCATGTTTGAGTCACTTTCCCCAACCTCCTCTCCTGCCTGTTAAAATCATCAATAGATTAGATCTCCTGAATATATGTCTTACTGTAGTAGCCTCTTATCTGTTCTGCGTGACACCAGCTTTCCTTTCTCTAAACTATTTCACATCATTGTCAGAGTGCTTATATCATTCCTTGACTCAAAACCATTCTGTCTCCCCAACTTCATTTTGGATGAAATCTGAACTTCTTAGCCTGGAATACGAGGTCCTTCTGGAAGGGGCCTGTCCTGTCCCTTTGGACCCTTTTCTTTCGGTGCTGGCACCCTAACTTCCTAGTGCCACCACATGCCTTGAAGTTGCTCTAATACAGCATGCTATTATTCACTTCTATGCTTTTGTAAATATTTCTCCTCTGCCTGGAATGCTTTCCCGTTTCCAACTTCTATAACTTGGCTAACTTTTGCTTGTCTTTGTCTTTTAAGACTCAGCTGGTGTCTTCTCTGATAAGTTTTCCCTGATCATTTAGTTGTCATCCCTATTTCCTTCAGCCTGAATCTGATATTTTTTATATGTATCCGCATAATCCCCTATGGCTACCTCTGTATTACAGGAATCAGGATGTAATCATTTGTGTACTTATCTGATTACTCCATTATAGTATGAGCTGCTTGAGAGCTTGTAAAGTGCCTTTTATGTTTGTATTTCCAGTGGCTGGGACAGTATCTGTCACATGATAGGTATTCATTATGTGTTTTGTTGAATGAATGAATGTGTATTATAACAGTGATAGTTTGTTGTTTTTTTATGCATATGTTTTTTTATAATTTATAAATCATATTGTCATAATGTTTCCTATGAAACCACTGGTGTAGAAGATATAAACCTAAAGCCGAATCGCACTTCTAGTTAATGCCCAATTCTGTGCAATAATGATGGATTCTCCTTCCTCCACCTCAGTATGGTAATTGTCAACTAGAATTTAGATTAACTACTGACATGCCTCCTTGAGTCCTTGAAACTTGCACAAACTGTACATTCATTTCAGGCTTTCATTTTCTGTGGAGTTCACTCATGGCTGGTTGCTAGGCAACCAGGGCTAGATGCTACATGTAATATGCACCAACTGATGTTGCTTTTTTTATTATTATTAAACCAAATGGTTTCTCATTTTATTACCATGTCAGAGACATCTGTATGTAAGGTGGCAGCTGATGTGCATAGTTTGACGCTTCCTATTGTAAAAAGTAACCTTGTGATATGGCTTTCAATCATATTGAATTGTCTCTTTTGGCTGTCTATATGTAATGTTTTTCTTTTACCATACTTTTGCTTAAGTCAAAATAGGAATGCATATTTGTTTGAGAGATTCTAGTGATAATCTTAATAGGAAAAAATAATCATCATTGATTTCCATGAACTGTATAGTTTAAGTGTTACCTAGAGAGGATGGACATTAGGAGGTTGAGACTGAAATCATTATTTGGTCTAATTTTGTTCAGTCCTCTAATGATCAAAGAGTAATGATGAATAGCGTTTTAATTAAATTTGTCAATAAAACTAATTTGGGAGATGATACAAAATACCTGTAAAAATTGAAGTAGCAATACAGAGAAATTCTCAAGTCATTTGACAGGACTTAAATACTCAAATAGCGTTAGCGTAACGCTTTGCCAACCTCATGTCTTTGAATTTTCTTTTTCATGTCTGTACAGGAAATGTTCCTGCCTTCTTAGAGATGTGCTTTTCAAGAGTGAGCATTTTGTTAAAATCAGCCCATTGTGTTAAGGGCACTATAATGGATACTCTGATTAAGTACAAAAGAGCTGATAGATGTCATCCCTTAACTCAGGAAGTTTATATTGTAACAAGGAAAGAAGACCAATTTATACCCCCCCCACCACCACACACACACACACACACACACACACACACCCCAGGGCTGTACTGCAGTGATGCTGCAGCTTAATCAAGCAGAGTAAAGAGAGAGGTGGGAAATCTTTTGTGAGACGTGGCATCTGTGTGTGGATTATGTTACAAATTTAATGTCATTTAATTGTTTCTGATAAAATTTATAGGCACGATATATCAAATTTGGAAAAATTGTAGAAACGAATCCCACCGTACTAGTACACCTGCTGCTAGGCTTTTGTTGTAATCTCTATGTATATTTTTATGTAATTATAATTAAAGCGGGTACACTTTTTAGAAATCCTTTTTTTACTTAATGTATCATAACTATGTAATCAAGTAGAAAATTGATTTTATGGTTCTAATTTTAAGTATAATCAGCTGAGGATAGACATATCAATTTTTTACTAGCCATTCCCATTTTACTGGGTATTTAGGCTCTTTTGGTTGCATAAACCTATGAAGAAAAATGATAAGATGTTAGCAGTTTTTCTGTGGCCAGGTGAGAAGAAATGCTGTAATGACTTCATGAAGGAGGAATTGTAGCATAGATGTTTTCCAGCAGAGGGAGATAAGAACAAAGAACAGCAGCAAAAGAGCTGATACATACAGTAGCTTTGAAGATACAAGAGAGCTCATTATTCTAAGGGTGTCATGTTGCCTAGGCGAGAAGGTGGCAGAGTTCTTAACATGTGAACCAGTGACTTGAAAAAGATGGAATTCAGGGAGCTGAATTTTAAACCTTATGAATTTTAAACCTTTACATCTTAGTACCTCTAGATTAGAACCTTCTGTTGTAGCCACAACAAATTTCCACAAATTGAGCAGAGTAAAACAATACTAATTTATTTTCATACAGTTCTGTAGTTTAGAAATCTGACATGGTTCTCACGGAGTTAAAATCAAGATATCAGCAGGGCTGTGGTCTTTCCTGGAGGTTCTGGTGAAGAATCTGCTTCCAAGCTTATTTGTGTTGTTGGATGAATTTAGTTTCTTGCAGTTGTAGGACGGAGGTCTCCGTTTACCTGCTGGCTGTCAACCAGGAACCCATCTTTGCTCCAAGAGGCCACCCACATTCCTTCCTATCCTTTTCATAAACTCCCAGAGGCCTTTTTCTGGTCCTCGCATGCGGGTCCTGTCTCAGAGCCAGCAGTGGCGCAGGAAATCTTTCTCATGCTTCAAATTTCTCTAATCTCCCCTTCTGTTGCATCTGTCTGCCTCCACCCTGAGAAAGTTTTCTGCTTTTACAGGCTCGTGTGATTAGATTGGCCCACATAGATATCCAGGGTAATCTCCCCATCTCAAGGTCCTTCACCTTCATTATACCTGCATAGTCCCTTTTGCCCTGTGACCTAACATTCTCACGGGCTCCAGGGATTAGAGTGTGAGCATCTTTGGGGGACCATTGAGCTGCCTATTACAGGGAGGGTTTTCTTTTTGGGGAGTTGAAAACAGCTTTTTTTTTTAAAAGATTTGTATTGGGGAATTGGGGGGATGGGAACAGTGCTGGGGAATTGGGGGAAGGGGAACAGACAAGTTGCTGTCGTTTTGTTCTTCAGTCTAGTTGTGGAGGACGTTGCTT